TTTGACATAACCTAAGTTACTTATGATATAAATTTAATATGTGGTTATTATGTATGTTTCTGCGTAATTAACAAAAACGTGCATTCCGATTCTTTTGTCTAGGTACTGTATATGTTTTAATTATATATCAATTATTATATTTATACAAAGGAATTAATGGCATTAATAGAATTTAATTACTTGTTTTAAAACTGGTTTAGTAAGGGTTTCCATTTTAATTGTCTATTTTTATCCCATTACATTTGCATTAGCTTATTACTACAAAAGTAAAAAAAAACAAGATTGTTTATTTTTTTTTTAAAAAAGAAAAACTTTTTTAATGAATTCATTATTTTTATGAATTCATTTAATTATTTATTATTTTTCTTTTTTTTGATTACTTGGACAACAACCAACAACAATGGCGATGACAACAACAACAACAAAAAAACATACGGAGTATAGGTGAGCTTACAGATTCTGTCATCCTAGTTGAAACAAAAGGCTAACTACTCACCACGAGTGTGTCCCAGAGTGTATGTGGAGGGAAGAAGCACGGTATGACAGGGACTTAGCATCTGTTTGCCTTTCATCTGAGCCTCTTTGATTAGGTAAGTGTAGTATTCAACAATCAAAGAGAAGAGCTTGAGCAAAGTCTTATTCACGTGATAAGGCCTGGTCTCATTCAAGGTTTTCAATCTTGTTTAAAGGTGGGAACCGCAATTAGCCGCAATTAATTGAGGAACCATCTTTAAATCTTGTTGGCCAGTAATCCTTAGCGTGATAAACCAGATGATACTTTTAAGTAATTCTGACACCTATGATAAATATCAGAATTATAATTAAAAATTTTTTAAACACTGAATTTACTTCCCTATTTTACAGGAGTAATAAAATCATTTTCCCATTTACGGGGGTAATAAAATTACCTTCGTGTGTTTAAATTTTCTGCATGGTCTTTGTTATTAAAAAACATGGGTGATGCAATTGTTTGTTATACAAAATTAAAAAAAAATAATGAAGAAGAAGGAACCATGGCTAGTAGTAATGCATGCATATCTCTCAAGGCAAGTATGATTATTGCATTGCGGGTTTGGTATATTTTTACAATACATGAATTAATTAATTAATAAAAAATCTTTAATATAGTATTCAAGCAAAGGAAGTCAGAACAAACAATCATCTTAGATGCTCTTGTATTTCAAAATGGTGAATTTTATAAATTTAAAATTTTTTTGTTTTGTTAAATTTTAAATTTATATATAACTTAATATTAATATCATTATCATTACAATAATTCCATCATTGATTTAATTCCACAAAACAAATTCGGTTCTGATGATTCTCTAGGGATTTTCTTAAAGTATCTATGGCTTGGTATCCTTCAAATCAATCACACGTTTTGCAAAATCCTTGATTTTCTTTGTGGAGGATTGGATGGTATGTAACAAAAAATCTCCTGCGACTTATTGTGTGTGTGCTAATAAATCTTGAATAAAAAATTACATTATTTAAATTCATCATTGATTCATCATGATCTTAATGCTTCAACAATAAAGAATTTTGACATTCTTGTTTACTATTTTTATCGCTTTTAAAAAAATTTGCATCTCGTGTACCATGTAAAAGTCATTCTACTCCAATATTGACCAGCCTATATGTGTTTCAAACTCAGACATTAAAGACAGTTCAAACACAATATTAATATTTAATATTATTTCATATTACAATTATGCATATATATGTAAAATTTTTGTTCATTATTATTATGGTCTTTAATATAAATTTTATATGAATTGCTCTTTTTTTTTTTTTTTTTTTTTTTCTTCCTCACGTGAGGAAGTGAACGCTTCTGCGGAGGGCCTGAAGAGAGCTTCGCCCTCTTCAGAATTCCTGGGACCATGCATTTTCCACAAAGATGCTTTAAAAAAATGATTAATTATCATCATCTCTTTGTTCCATAATTGGTGTATTATTGTTACATGCTATCTAATTAATAAATATGTGTATATCTTTATTACATTGTAAAAATCAAATCACAAATACTTGCTCAACCCTTGCAGTTTTTTGATCTATTTATCATTATATGTTTTTTGGCCATGAAATGGTCTATTTTATTAAAAACAGCATCATTAATCATGAATGCTTCGCATCCAGTGCTAATTTTGACACTCCAAACAAATATGTATATGACACCAAAGAGTATCTAGAATGGCCCAAGAGAATATTTCTATGTTGGTGTTACAAAAAAATATGGGACAATTGTCCTGTTTATATGTTTCAAATAGACCATTATCTTGACCAAAGTGATTGCGTTCTCTTGTAAACTTGTTTTTATAAATCACCCAGTTTATCATTATTTTCTGTGAAAAAATCATATTCAAAGTATCTTTTTCAATTCTTCATTAAAATTCTCAACGAATCATTCATTGTATTTAATATTAAATTTTTTGATATTGTTTATTTTAAAGTTTTTAAAATTCTGTCACCATCATCTCCCCAATAAACTCAATGTACTTTAATACAATTATTAAATATTTCGATTAACGATTGATTGTTGTGCATTTTAAATTTCTGCAGTATTGTAACAATCCCCCAAATGATATAAGACTATTCAATCGTTGTCCAAAATTTATACATTTTGGTAATAAAATATTTTATATTGTATGTATGCTTTGTGAGAATTGAATTTTGAATTTTGTTGGCACCAGGGATGTTAAATGGTCATAAAGGGCTGATGAACAGTCTGGCTGGCCTTGAGCCAGTTCAGTCTTTTCATTAATACTAAGAAAACTGACTGCATTCTTTTGATCTTTTTATAATATAGGATTGCAGTCCAAAAGACTAGAATGGTCCGGACTGGTCCAAATCAGTCTTCTACTTCCTATATATAAAAAATTTTTACGGAAAAAAGAACAGTATTAGTATTAGTATGTTTTGCCAAACAGAAACGCGTGGGATCTTCCCGTGATAATAACAAAATTTTTTATTATTGAAAAAATACTTTTGTTCGGTATAACGAAAACCGTTATAACAAGGACCGCGTTAAAATAATAACGAGGTTCAAGTGTTAAACCCCCAAATCTTTCACAAAAAAATTTTCTCTAAAAAAAAATATAATCAATAGTCAATAATGAAATCTTCTTTATTTACTTTAATAATTATTTTAATAATTTTTATTTCTTATAATAATAATTTATTTCTTGCGCAACAACAACAATCGTCGTGGCAGTCCAATGATAAAGAACATAAATTCATTGTGTTTCATAAATTTCCACAGCAAATATCATATACAAAACGAGGAGAAGTCATAGTCATTACCAATAAAGCAGTTTCACAATATATTGGTGTTAATGATAATGTCTTATTTGATGATGTTGAATACTCATCACCTTTCTATTTAATAAAATTAGTTGATGAGAATGATCAAAATAATGTTTTGAAATCTTTTACAAAAATGGTATTTCACTAATGATTATTATAATATTAATTATAATTTATATTAATTGATGAAATTTCTCTTTCTCTTTTTTTTCTCTTTAGTGTTTATTAAAATCTTCGAATTTTGAAGATGAAATTATTATACACTTGGACAAACATAATAAACCATTTCATTTTGATTATTACACTTTAAAAGATCAATGTAATGATACAATAAAAGTTCAATCTGACAAGATTAATAATGAATTTAAGACTTCAATTCAAACAGTTAGATCAATTAATGGTGTGAGGTAAATTATTAAGTAATAATTATAATTATAATAGAATTATAAAGTAATAATATTTATTTATATTATATAGTCCTAGATTACACAAAGCTTTGCCTGTAAAAGAAGATGGAACAGTTGAGAAACCTCCTGAAGAAAAATCATTTCTACAAAAATATTGGTAAAAAAAAACTTCAATTAAATACAATGAAAAAACACATCTCGTGCCCATGAAATACACACTCATTAATATGCAATTCTACTATTATTTTTCCTAGGTGGTATTTGATACCTCTTGCTTTATTATTAATGACAAGTACTCCACCACCAGCAGAAGAAGGTCAACAGCAGCAGCAGCAGCAGCAGCAGCAGCAACAACAACGTGGGCAGAATCCGCGACCTGCACGTTAATTGGTTTCTGGGTTATATATTGTTATATGTGTGAAAGAAAATTTCATGAGGCTTGTAATAAAAGAACTTATTATTAAAGATATTTTATTAAATGAATTGACATGCAACTTGTGAAAAAATATATCAAATTATCTAAAAAAGTGAGAGTAAGTTTTATTTTAAGAAAGATATTTATTAAAGATGGTTATATATACAGTGTATTCATCAATTACTTTGTTGAATATAAAGAATTAATATAAAATTCTATCTCTCCATTTTTATCAATTCACAATGATTTTTCATAGAACTAACTAAATTTTGTGCTGTTTCTTGAGGAATGTTCTCCCATTTCCCAACTGTAAATTGCTAGTATCTTTAGGCATCCTTATTTCTACATTCTTTTTCACGATCTGCCACATGTTCTTGATGGATCAGACTAGGATGACCAGTTTATAAAGCAACTGGCAAAAGCTGGTTTGGTGTAATATTCACATAGCAAAACAAGGAGGTTTTGCCATTCAATGAAATTCACCCCAAGTCATTACCTTTTATCATGATTTTGACAATATTCTAATTGGTCTTTCTCCATTTTTATATTTTATTATGAAAAATATCAAAGGTGATTTCATCTGCAAAAATGGTAGAACTCCAGTTATCATTCAAATGAGCTTGTACCCCATGTTTTGAAGCAACAATATGATTGCTGGTTAGCATTGGGGAGGCAAGTGGTATAGAGCTATGTCCCTTGTTTTCATGTGTCACCAAATATTTGATGTGAAATAAATAGATATATTATGTGTCCTTGAACTTTAGCTGCAAGTTGTACAGAATTACAACAAACCAATTGCCTGATTGAAGATGATTAATGTAGAACTTGAATCACAACATCAAGCAGTTCCAGGTGATGTTTTTAATAATAAGTATAATGTTAATTTATGAATTAGAAGATTGATATAGATTTTAGTTATTAAAATTCTTAATTTTATCTGTATTCTTCCTCTCCTATTCTGTTATTCTGTCATTCTGTTATTGTGTTGTTCTAATAATTCTTTACATCTATTAAAAAAGAAAGAATTGATCATTTGTTATTTGTATGTTACTTGAATTCTTATTTTACTATATTATGTATGTAGATGGTCATGTGAAAGTCATGGAGTGCACTTATAGAGGATGGTTTTATATGGAAAAGATCATGCAATGCAGAACATAGAGGGGATGCATTTATCTCTAAGCCCCAAGCTTAGGACTGGGTTACAGAATGCACTTATGGAGGGCTGACTGTATATATATTTTTGAGTAAAATTAAAATGTCAATAACAGTAAGTAATATTTGTTTGTATTGAATTTTGATTACTATATGGTTCTATTTTCTTTTCGATGCTTTTAATGCATTATAAAATTATTTTGTTCAAGAAAATTAAAAGTAGTTTCAAAAGCTTTTACAGCTTCATTTATTGAAACGTTGGCAATAGTTGTACTACTTACAATAACATCTTCCTCTTCAATTTGCTCAAAAGAACTAAGAATTCCTCTTTGGTTGGAATTTCATCATCATCAATTGATATATATTCCTCTGCTGTTTATGCTGAACTGAATTTTAATCTATTATCAACATCATCTCTTTGATCATTTATAATAATTTTTATTAATGTTGTCACATCTCCAATTTACTCTTCATAATCTAAACAAAGGATTATTCATGCAAATTCATTATTGAAAATTTATTTATATTATTATTTAATATGGGAAAATTATAACCTTGTATATCATGTGAATCCATTGTATAGTTGGCTTGGTCTAAAGACCTCCTAAGTTTTGCATAAATTTTAAAAGTATAGAAGTCACTTTCTGTCCTATCTTTTAAAAAAATA